TTGAAACTCGATCTCCACATATTTAAACCTCTCGTTCTATGCGATCTACGCCGTGAGGACACCTCTGGTGCTCCTCTGTTCGAATGATAAATTTTTAATTTCCGCTCCTCCTTTAAAAATATAATTATGTCAGACGTAATGATGTTTGGTTGTCGATAACAACGGATGATATCGAGAAATATCTAATCTCGCTCCTACATCCTATATTCCCCTCCTCATTCTATTCTACTCTCAATTAGAATCCAGGTCTACAAGGAAGTACTTCTCTCCCTCCTAATTTTCTCCCCGCGCCCCACCAAATCTTTAATTTCTTACCTCCTCCATTATACATTTAACTTTGTCTCCCATGAACACCTTCCATCAATAAAACAAATCGTGGACTCTCTCTTACACGCAAATGAGACAATTGGTCCTGGAGGAATATTACAAAAAATGCCGCTCGTACTTCTGAAAAACATATAGACTCAACCCACCTCTACCGACGCGCATGCGCGTCCGAGCGCCGCTGGGCTCGGATTCGTCCGCGCTTCTGTGTGACATGGCACCGTGGCCATACAACTACTGCTGCTCCGGCCACAATTCCGCCTGCGTCTTTCACAATCTCCCAACTCTCTCCCTACTTACTCATGCTACATGTTCAGAGAGAGAGAGAGACTGGGTTTGGACTTAGACAAAATTTCTTTCGTGTAAAATTATTCTGTAAGGGTGTTTGTATGTCTGACCTAGTTGGTATCTTTTAGTGGCAAGTGGAATGTTTTCTGCATTTGTTTTGGATTAACTGTACCTTGTTATGGCAGTGTGCTGGGTGCATATGGGGCACGCAACCATTAGCGATGGTCTGATTTGTACACCGGTTTCCCACATTCTATGCTCAGACATGATTTGTGATTTAATATGTGATAGAGTTTAAATATTTTTGCTCGTAATTTGTAACTAATGTTGATGATGTGATCTTTCCATGTTAGTTTGGTATATATTATTAGTCCTCAATATTTAATTGGTGTTTGGTTTGGAAGCCATTGAATGGGTATATTTTGGATGAGTAATGGGGGGGGGGATTTGGGTTTGCGAAGGATGAACATTATGTATATCAAGTATGAACAGGATGTATATCATTGGTTAAATGAAGGTTAAGTGAAGAGAGCTGTGTCGTCGGCGAAAAGATTTATGTTGGAGGGTAGAGGAATATCAGATAAGAAAATGTTAAAGAGGAGGGGAAGAGACATGAATCTTGCGGGAAATTAAAGCTGCGCAGATTGGAGCCCGAACGAAATGAATGGTTTTTGTATGTTAAATAGAATGAATGTGATGTCTTATTTTCGTTGTGTAATAGTAGCAGTAAATATTTGTATGTGTGTGTTTGTCATTTTAAAATATAAGTCTAATGTGAGGTTGCCCTGATTGCAAATATATAGCTTAAGGCATTGGCACGCTAAAGTAATTAGCATAAATTTCGGTGTTATTATTTTAGTAACAAATAAAATATGTCTCCGCCCATCAGATTAGGACCGGGAGAACGCGCTTTCTAGTTCCCCCTCGGGCATGGATGTGCTTGTGTACGTGTGTGGGTGTGTTGTTCTTTCACCCGTCACTGTCATCATCATTTCATCTTCTATACCCCCAAGGCTAACAACTCTGGGGGATAGAAATCGGATTTAGCTAAAATACTGAACCTATGATAAATAGCATGCACCTGTCACCGATATGTTACTGAGCACGCGTGGTTTAAGTCGGCCTATAAGCGAGTAAAAAATATGTCTCCATGTATCCTAAATTCCGCGAATAAATAATAAATAAAATATTTTTGTGACTTTGAAAAATTGCACAAATTGCACGCAATATTGCACGAAAAGAACTAAAAGTTTCATAAAAATGTACATAACCTAAATGAAAAAACGAATCATGGGCAAAAAAATTAATTTCAAGGAAAACCTCTATCCTAATTTTTGTAGTTGTAGGAAGACACCGAAAAAATTCACTTACAAATACGTTTGTAAGTTTCAAAAATGAGAGTTAGCCTTGAAAATCGGACCTATGTCATTTTTATAAGTGTATGTATTTTTACAAGAATTAAAAAAAATTGGAGCTGTTTTTGAGAAAGTTATGAAAATGTTTTTCAAAATCTCAAAGTTTTTTCTCGAGAAAGATAGACAGGGGTTTCTTGAATTTGGAAAAAATTAAACGCATGTTAGTGTTCACAGACGAATCGAGAGACGGACAGAGCCGTCAATTGGTTTTTCGGTATCAAGGACCCACAAAACATGAATTCTGGCTACAACTCGTGTTAGAGTATTTTCCCTTTTAAGTTAGCAACTGTATTTATCTACTTTTTCGTTATCAGGGCTCTACAATGATTTTTTTCTGCCGAAAATCCGCCGTTTATTTGCGCAGCATTACATAACTATCCCTGTACTATTACTCCGTATATAGGTATGTATATGGGAACGTAAAAATAGATGTACGACTTCGACCATACCGTTTCATACTATATTCACCATACCGTTATAGACAGCCTCCAAATTTCACATTCATATTTTTTATTTCATTTTTGTTCGTAGTAAGTTTTTTCTTTCCCTTTCTTTTCGGGTTTTGTTATATCAATGATTTTTCAAAAATTTCGAAAGTTCATTTTTTTATGCTTCGTTCTACGGTATTGGAGACATATATTTTTCTGAATTTAGTTGATTCTTTAAAATCAGATCTTGAAACTAGGTCATATTCAATTTTTCGAGAATATCAATAGTGTTGGTGTAATCATGCAGAAAAAATAAGCAATTTTAATTTTTTAAAGAATTTTTATAAAAAACCAGTCGATATGCTTTTTCAATTTTTTTTTCTACGGATAGAAGAAGTTACATTTAAAAGAATGGCGTGGGTCTTCTTTTCGTTGAACTCTTTGAATTTTTGAAAATTGCAAATTTAGAAGCAATGCGAGACAGTATCTGCACATACTTCTAGCACTATTAGTTATATTATTTAAATCTGATTTGACGTCAATATTATGACAGATACGGTGAATAACCTATTACGTGCACGGTTTTCTTGTCTGAACGTGGTGGAAGAGAGGAAAATGTTGGACAATGGTCGACCTACTCTTAACATGTGTCAAACACGATTGTACTACATCGTGCTGGAGAGAAAAATGCACAACAAATCAATGCTTAATGGTGTAATTCACATGAATGGCTAACAGATAGTAAGTTAAAGTTGTAAAGTAAAGTTAAAGCTGAACTTTATCATTGGCCATGTCTTTGCTGTCATATTATGTAGAGTATTGGAATAGAGATGGATATTTTAACATAAAATACCAAAAGCTATACAAAAACATGTATCAAAATATCACATACGTAATATAGTGTATCTTAAACGACTGAAAAAACTGATTCCTATTTCTGAATTATTCATCATTGAAACTGAATCAACACATCTGAATTATCAGAGCAACAACACTTTCTTGGCATCTGAATATCTTAAAATCACGTCTGTACGTGCTTTACGGAAATAATGATTTGGAATGTAACGATAAAAGAGAATTGTTTTGAATAAAATTACAAAAAAATGTTGAGGTAGGGCACGTCCTCCATACCCTTTCCCTGGATCTACAGTTGTTCAATCTGTTTTGCCTTCCCTGAACATTTGTTCACGAGCCTCCACTGCATTCTAGCCAAGTAATATTTGCTTTGTGTACCACGTCACAACACGACTTCATTCAGTAAATCATTCAACCATACAGCTATCGAGCCTGGAAAAATTACCAGCGAGACTAAAAGATTTAAATACTTTCGCAATTCGAAGCTAATTAACCACATTGGTAAGAAAACGACATATAGAACGGTGTTAACGTCTTCTTCAATCTCCAGACTTCTCCGCTTTCCAAGCGCCCGGTCACCGCCCCCTAAACACACTCTATTCCCCCTTTTTCTCAATATTCTACCCCATACCTCATTGCTCTATCCTCTTCCTTCCATTCCCTGCTCAACACCAAATTATTAAATTATATTTTCTGTGTACCCTAGAATTGTTTATTAAATATACAAATATTACTAACGTTCCCAGATAAACATATACTTGTAGCATCTTTGCACCATTCATCAGATATCACTTAAATATATTGCTAAACAAAATTGATGTTAAGATACCCCGCACTCTTTGTATTGTTCCTTAATATTTCCAGTATTGTTTTAAATACTTCGTTATTAACTTATAGTGTATTCTGCCTTCTCTGGTGTAAATAATATTTATATTTTTGAAAGTCTACTGTAAAACTAAACGTAGCCTTCTGTACTTCCTCAATAACTTCATCTTTTTCGGCCCTACTTCTTTCTTCGTCCTTTCTTTCGCTTTTTTTTTTCTCCCTCTCCTCACCATCAACTATCATTTATACTTTTTGACCTTCTTCTGTACGCTTTTCTTTTCTCTTTCATGAAACTTCCCTTTCAACTACTCAGTATACATACTCATGTATTGAATGTTTCGCCTAAGCCGCCATCCTGATGAGGTTTTCTGGTTACTCAATCGTTAAGCGTATCCGGGATGGTCCCTAGTTTGTTCTCCCAACTAAATGTACAGCTTGTCCTCCCCTCTTAAAATGTTACTACTCTAAATTGTATGTAAATTCAGGTAGGCGGAAGAGCAGGCCCTATGGCCTGACCTCGCCATTATAAGACATTATTATATTATATATATCATATATTTATTATTATTATTATATTTCTGCAAACTCCTCGATAAGCATAACAACATTAAACAAAGGCCGATCCGGTGCCGAATCCTAGCAGGTGAGTGCCGTACGCGAATCGACAAGATCGCGCGTTCGAGTCCCGGCCTGCGGGCATGGTTGATTGTGTTTCGTCCTTCAACCCCCTATTCATCATCATATCGTGTCAACTCCACAGTTACCATACCGTTACAAGCAATAGTGGTCGCTAATAACCAGCATTGTTGCACCTTAAATAATACAAAAAAACCTTTATATTCATTTATTTGCAACAAGCTATTGTATTACATGATTTGGCATATAATACAATATTGTATTCCCATTATTTAGCCTTAACCTACGGAAGAACGATTCCCTTTTCAAATTAAGACCGTAACAATAAGAATGTTTTATCGAAGGCTGCTATTAAGAAATATATCCAATTAATGCCTAAGAAAAGCAACTGCCACGAAATCCAGTTCCAGAATGTTAAAAGTGTAAAGCAGGAGAAGGAAAAATATCCAATATTTATTTGCGTATAACTAGCAGAGTTACCACACAATGGTAGTTTACGTTAGTAAACTAGTTTTAATAAGCCAAAAGCATTTTAAAGCAAGTACACATATTCAAGATTCGAAATATTGGGATAAATAACGTAGGACATGATAAATGAAAAGGGAAGGTAGTAAATTTGGGGTTTAAGATTGTGTTTATTCTTAAAAATCACACCATTAACAATATAAAAATAAATGAGTCACTTTTCCAATTTAGTAAAGAATAAAACAAGGCAGAACTGTACGTAAAGTGAATATGAGAATACATGACTTCAATTTTTAACATAAGAAATTGAATATTTAAAACATTTTCGAAAACAAGTGACACGTGAACAAGGAACAGAGGGATAATTCTAAACAAAATTTAAAATCGGAAGCAAAAAACAATCCGGTAAAATATGCAAGTAGTACAGACCATGGCCTATACATAATATTGTCTTAAAAGACCTGCTTCGCTATTGGAAGAATATATCCGTCAGTTTTTACAATCTACGATTCTATAAACTTTCACGTTATAGTTTCATGAATGCAAAGAATGCCTTGGTCAAACTGAGTAATTTTTACTCTCGAGATGGCTAAAAATGACCATGCACTGGCAAACGCAGGCCTAGAACGGTTTCACCAGTTGTAAACGTGCCTTCGTGCTTCTAACAGCTTCATTGCGGGAACATGACAGATTACAACCACCGCGTGCCTGAACGCTACTCATATATAAACTTATCGGCACTTCAAGATCACGATCTGTACGATTACGGTGGCACTCATGCAATGCATAGCTTCGTCGTGACTTTTTCGGTATTGCAGCTCTCGACTGGATGACAATGTCCCCGTCTCCTTTCAGCTCGTGACCTTGAAGTGCCCCTGTGTTTTAATCCGAGTATATTCTTGCCGGAGTATGGCCAACTCGGCAAGACTTGAACCCATTGTCACTATATCGTAGCGGTTGAGCGCGGCCCGAAGCTCTCGTCGCCAGCGCATGGCACCGGCGGCAGGGACGCCAGGTAGTCGTGCAGGTAAGTGGACGCCGCCATGTCGATGGTCGTGTAGCCGTAGTCGTCCTCGACGAGAGGGTCCGCGCCGGCAGCCACCAGTAAATAGACGCACTCCACGTCGTTGCCTATGACCGCATAATGTAAGGGAGTTCTTCCTTGTCGATCCATCTAGAAAAGGCAGTGAAAATTAGTTTCAACCGTTTCATAACAAAGTAATTCCGATGTACAGAGAAAATTGGGAGAAAGGGGCTGTGTTAAAGGAGGGAAGGGGATGGTGTCTCAGAATAAACTAAATTACTGAAGAGCTTTCTTTATAATTAAATGCATTTGAAAGTATTACATTCATATTTTGTAATTCACGTGCAAAAAATTGAGGAATGGCGTGAGCATATATGTATTGAATTAAAAAAAAATTAACATTTACCATGATGTATGGTATGTATTACTTTTCTACGTTGGGAAGTATCGAAATCAGAATATAAGATATTTAAGATGTTTGGTTGAAAGAACGGCGGAGTTTCTACGAAGCAATCATACATGGCGACGGTTTCAAATTATTTTTCCAAAATATTCGTAAGTTTTTAAAGAACAAAAACTTACTTTAAGTCCTGATAAACGTAGTAAATCATGAAACAACTACCTAAATAAGGGGTGGGAGTCATGCTGGGGTCCCAGGTTACATCCTCTCATTTACATGGCGACGTAAATGAAATTGTTGCAACTGAACTGGTTTTCTATTTCTGGGTTCTGAGGCGTACATATTTGCCAATATTTATCCGAGGTATTTGGGACGCATGAAGCTAGCGAAGTTTTGCTAGCGTTTATATTACGGGACGAAGCAAAATTAAGAAATTAATCCAAACAATTTATGCGATTAAAAAGGGAAAATTTAGCAAAATAGAAATGCAGCCCTATTGGGGGCGGGGAGACTAACTAGATATAGTAACAATTTTTTGATACAAAAATTGCCAAAAATTTAAGATTTTCAAAACCACTAAAATAATCTAAAAGGACGGTTTGGGTTTTGTATTCATAGTAGTAAAATTCTTATTAAAAAAAAGATTGTCGTGGTTTAAATTTAAATCATATGGAAAGTACCTCGAGTACAAATTGTAGAAAAATAAAACAATTAACAATGTAACATGAGGACCATCCAAATAAATTAACAAAACTATTCCATCTCCCGATCTTAAAGGTTGTTCTCGAGCACATTTCGGAACCGCCCTTCTCGTGACCGCAATGATCTGTAACGATTTGAGTGAAGAGTTGGTTACTTGGTTGGGGTTGGCCCCGGCGTCGAGCAGTTCGGCGAGGCAGGCGGCGTCGCAGGTGGCGGCGGCGAACATGGCGGACGGGAAGTCGCGCTCGCTGCCCTTGACGGGGGCTCCTCCGTTGAGCAGCGCGCGCACGGCCAGCGCGTGGCCGCTGAGCGCGGCGCGCCGGAGGGCCAGGGCGGCTGCCTTCGTGCGGAACTGCCAAGGAAACGAAAAAAAAGAATTCTAAAACAAGCCAAACATTTCACACCCCGCAAACTTCCTCAACCACCCCTCCCCCACTTTCAAAACAAACCTAAAATGGATGAATATACCGAGAGAAATGTTGTAGAATGCACTAAACATGTTAATTAAGCGATCATGTAAATACAATTACTCCTGTAGTAAAATTAATTAAATATGATTTAGTTACGATTTTGAATTGTCTGATTTACTAAACGAAAGTGAATGAACAAAGAATTGTCATAGGTACTATGTTGTTTCGTAGATAAGATCAGTCGGCGATATCTACTTTTCATGTCACACTACGACGTTTAGTGAGCGCGCGTTCTTAGCCAGCTGACTAATTTGAAAGGTTATTGAGCCCGTGTGTAGTGTGAGAATTCAAAGCTCTATGTAGAATTATATGCTATATAAATGGCGTATTTAGTATTTTATTGATTTTAAATAATTAGCATGTTATATTCTACACAAAAGGTAGAAATACTGTCGGCAGCCAGCCTTCGTAACTGTTCTGCTTAGCTACGGCCTGTCAGGTAATCGAGATTAAGGAAGTACAAGTCCACGGGGCCGTAGGATGGGTGACTGCTCCTGAACCCCAGATGTTACCTGCCTGAAGGAATGGATAGAAAGTATTCCCTTTCATGTTTCGTTTAGTTATTTTCACTGCAATGTGTTTTGTAAACATTACTCAATGTATTAGTCAAGGCAACGATTCCTTTAATTATCTCCGCAAGACTGTAAATACAACCTGAACCACAAGACTGGATCAAATCTATAGCAGATAAAGCTTATGCAAAAATATGTTAACTATATCCAATAATAAATACAAATTCCGCACTGAGAACCGACTGCGGCTTCATAGTCTATACAAAAATAAAAAGACCAACCCCCACATATGCCTGCCCGATCTGGAACAACGCCGCACGAACTACCCTAAATAAAACATTTCTCAGAAAGGTCGTTGAAGCTCCGTGGTTCATGAGCAACAAGCAAATCAAAAGAACTGAATATATCAGCAATAAACGATTATATAAATCTTACGATAGTA